TCAACATTCTCCGTCGGAGTTTGGTAACGCGGTTTGCTTTCCGCGAGACGGTGGTAGGTCCTTTGGGTGTGTCAGGCCACAAAGGATGGCTACCCACTCCACGGATGGAGTGAGGCCCCTACCGGGATCAGGTATTTTCTTTCCTTCTCCCTCAAGACACCTGACCCGGTCAATAGGCACAGGTGGGACCTTTTACAGACATATCCAAGGTCTTTCGCGACCTGGCTAGCCGTCGATCGAGCAATTAGGGCGGAGCGCCTTCACTTCCAGTGGCAACGAGGAAGTTCTCGTACTTGCCACCGTGAATTCTGATGAGCTCTTTGCAGTTCAAACAAGGCTTCCATAACCTCGCCCAGATCGGCCCAGATAGTCGATCGTCATAGTGAGGAGAAGACAAGTACGGCCTGGACAAAGCGAGACCATATACCTTCTCGGCTTGTCACTTCCCACAGGTTTTGAGGAGCTTGCAGAAAGGGTATGTCTCGGCGCAACGTCCAAATGGCGTTCCATCCTTCTTCTTTCTGCACTCCATGCAAGGTGATCGGGCCAATGACCAGCCGGCCAACGTTAATGGCTCAGACTTGATAACGCCAAATCGGGCACGGTCGACGACGGCTAGCCAGGGTCGCTCTGAATGAAGACTGTATGCTCCTCTCGAGGCACCGAGGAAAAAGTCTCCCTCCTCATTCCACGTACATTGGAAAACGTATGGCGTAACCCCTTCTCCAATGAGCTTCTTACACCACATTCCATAAACCGCGGTGAGTGGAAGGTAAAAGTTCCTTTTATTTGCTCCAGCGGGACTCCGTCCAAGCTTGCTCATGAATAGGCCAAGAAGGTCCGGAAGCGCCCAGTATGGCACTTTGTCGTAAGTCAACCTATCTATAAGAATAGGTGAGCCCGCATTGGGCCAGCTCGGATTGTTAACACGGGCGATGCTCTGGGGGGGAGGAGGAACGAGGTAGTCGGGCCCATCGGGGTGACTTCGGTAGACGTCAGTCCATAAGGCTCAACAAAGGGTTGGTTATACCTCACTTGCTTACCGAAGTCTAAGGATATCCTGCTGAATCAACAGCAGCTCGGTCACGTCCTCAGTGGGCACCCCATACATCTCCGGATGCTCTGTTATATCCCGCAGCCACGCCAGAATCGTGCCACGTGGGAAAGTGTACGCAGCACGTAAGTCGATACGGCCATTGAGCCACGGAGAAAGAACTTCTGTTGTCATTTTGAGCAAATGAGAATGATTACCTATCTGAATAATTCTCTACGTATCTACAATGATAGATCTTCCGTGCAATTCGAAGATGTCCGTATATTTCCTAAACGGGCCTCATTCATCTTGTCTGCTTTTAGCAGGAGCGTCCTGGCCGACAGAAACAAACACACCATCCCCTTCTCAGACCCTCGGCGCTGGTAGATCATCATCATCAGGCAGCTCAACAGGCTTAAGCTCCTTCATCTTCAGCCCCATTATACCCTTCGCCCTCATAACGTCCAGGATATCCGGCCATGTCTTCGGTGCCGTTATCTCGAAGATATAGTCGACTAAAAGATGTCCGGAATAGTACCGTCCATTAGCTGTAATGATATAGCCCATCTCTCCACTATTATTAGTCCCTATAAGGACCAGCGTAGGGTCGGTAATCCCATAGCTGCGTGCCATGTACCATTCCCCAGTACCGGGGAGAAACCATCCTTCAAAAGCTCTGGGGTCGTCAGTCCATTCGGGGACGACTTCACGGTAGCCCTAGGAAGTAACAATCAACCAAACTGAACAGCTGTGAAATGACTGTATGGAACTTTCTGTGATATACAAAGATGTCTAGAATGTCGGCCTGCTCTTCAGCCGGGGTGGAGGAGTCTGGTGCTGCTCTTGGTCTATCCATTGTAGCGGCGACTGTGTTGATGAGAAAGATATTGTTGCCAAAGCAAAAGCAAGATCTTGGATGATGCTGAGTATGTTCGGGAGGGGGAAAGTTGATGCGGAAAAGAGAGTTAAATATTAGTCATTACAGAGTCTCGGTGAATGGTTCCTAGTTAATCAGCCACGATTTAAATTTGACGTCTATATTTGTCATTCGATATGGTTAGCATACTCTGACACCACCAAGAACTTCACATCGAGAGCTCTCAGTGGCTTCACAGCGCTTCAGCTGGGGCGCACTCATGCCTAATGTGAGGACCTATTCTCAGAGACACAACCAGCGATCTGTGGCTTTCCGTAAAAGAATGCGCCATACATTCAAGGCCCTAGACCTGCTGGCAACATTGCTTCCGCTGTTGCGGGCACTATCTCCCGGGACTCATAGAATCATTGGGAACACAAGCCATCTCGAAATCCTTGTTGTTCCAAGGTGATTTGCAAAGCCACGTCCCATCTTTGTTGAGCACAGATTGTTCGTCTATTTGAATAACAATCGGGAGCCCAAGCCTGGTCACTCTTCCAAGCACCACTATCATGAACTCACCAACACCAAATTTTTCAAACCCCTTTGATGAGCAAGGTTTCCCTGATGTCTACCCAACCAAGATCTCTATATCTCGAGGCAATACACACCCCATCATCCCAGACTAACTTATCCTGATTGAGTGTGTGTGCTTACTAGGCCAACAAATCATAGTTTCCTCTGAGGGAGAGGAGTAATCGTGGAAGGTATAACCATATGCGTTCTCAAGGTCAAACCACTATTTACATTCCGCTCGCATACATACCAGCTCATCTATAGCCGGCTCTTGATCTTGGTCCATTCATTTTCGCCAACCTTCTGGAAGTCCATAACTGCATCTGGTCCTCCGAATCGGTTCTGTGTCGACTTCCAGTCTCTGTCGACCGCCATTTCTGGTCTCCACCGAACAACATGTTTCAGCTCATCCTGCAGATGACCCTCCAGTGCATCCACGATGAAACCTCCAATAGTGGGCATTTGCATAGCTCCATTCCCAGATGCCCCCACAGCAACCAACAGTGAAGGTTGATCAGGATGTTTATCGATTAAAAAGGCACGATCTACCGTATCGGCATCCCAGCAGATACGGGCGAACACTAGTGGACGGTCGGCCAGATGTGGCATGGTATCCCGCAGGAAGTCCTTGACGCGAGCTTCCGCCTCAAGGGGAATTTGGTGCTTTGCAAATGGGATGCTTCTGATCTCGCCAGATCTCGCCGGGTCCGGAATGAAGTTACAGTATCCAGGATGTTCGTCACAGATCTTGAGTTCGTGCTTATCCTCGTCAGCCTCCATGAAGAACCCCTTTGCAATATTGAACAGCACGGGTAGATTCTTGTACAACTTAGCCTCTTCCGGGGTCATCTGGATGTGAGAGAGCGTCCAGGCAGTAGGACGCAGCTGTTTCTTGAAGTCCAGAAGACGGTCGCTTCCGGCACCGGCAGCCAAAATGGTTCGGTCTGCTCGGTGAATGACTCCATCGGACGTTTTAGCTCCAACCACATCTCCGTTCTCGTACACTAGTGATACAACGTTCCCTTGGGGAGACCCGGTGATGAAGTTGACTCCAAGACGCTTGGCTTCAGTGTACGCAGAAATCATGGCTTTCTTGGCATGAATCCATCCGGCACCCGACTTGTTCAACCAGCCCTTCCAGCCGGAAAAATCGCCAGTAAGAACACCTGGAGGCATTGTCTTTTGGAAGTCTTCTGCCGTCTTCAATTCGACAAAGTCTGCATCAGAACACTCAATCTCATCTTTGCGAATGTGCTCAATGAGTGCAGGGGTATGACCAGATACTATGACACCAGTCTCATGGAAGTACTGCTTGAAAACAGGATCCGTCCTCCAGGCTTTCAGAGCGGCACGTGTGCACGTCGCGAACGCAATGCTGCGCGGCGTTTCTTCACCTGCTGTCGAAGTTGTTAGGTTTAGAAAAATGGGCATCAGGTGGACATTGCAAACATACCTTTGGGCTCCTTGTGTTCCATGATTTTATTGATATCATTGCCGGCTGCGATTGCGGATGGGATCGTGTAGGGGTCTAGAACTGTGACATGCTTGTATCCGCGGCGAGCCAAATGCAAAGCAGTAGAACAACCCCAAACACCCGCTCCCACCACGAGAATGGTAGAATCATGGGTTACTGTAGAGGATGCCATGGTGACTGGTAATTCTGTTTGACTCGAGAGTATTGAGGAATTAATATGTTGCAACGATGTTGATGTGGAAGGGCAACGAGGCCGTATTTCAACGGCGCCTTTACATCAGACGGTATCCACTGAGTGCCAACTAACTGCCAGCATTGGGCACAATGGGGACCTGGCTGGGCCTTATCCAGAGTCCAAAGTCCCGGCAAGATGGAAGCAACTCAAAGCAGGCCACAGAATTGTGTCCGTGCCGGGGTTCCCGATTTAGATTAGCGTCCCGGTTGGACCTTCCTTGGGGTCTTCATATCACTCGGTCTTCTCATCCATCATCCATTCATGACCCCCAGATACATGGGAATACTCGCGTCAATGATCGTCCGGGATTTTTCCGTGGACGCTATCAGGGTCGTCTACAGCAATGACCCACTTGCGTGCGGATGATACCGACTTCAAGCCATGTCAAACCGGCGAAAGCATGCAGCTTCTCCGCATTTTCCTCCGCCTCGGCAGGCTTAATCGATATCAACCGCTCAGATAACCTTTCGTTTGGGGCTTCCTCCATGACTTAACTTATCTGTGACTGACTATCTTCGCAATACTCCTCGTGTCTCTTCGTCTCCACCCCTACCTTATCACCTCGGTTATGCTCCATTCAGCCGGTTCTAATTATTTTGCCGCTGGCTTTCGTGAGAGCGTGGCAGACGAGAGTAGGCGAATGATCATCCCCTGTTATCGTGCTTGGCCATACTGATACGCTCGGGATAACCATCCAATCGGACGCCAAAATGGGGTCTTGGAGGGCTCTATATACTTCGACCAGCTCGTACGCAGGTCTAGCATGGTTGTGGCCGCTAGTAGATAGTAACCAGCCTTAAAAGACGCTTCAACCCCCCTCATGGCTGTCTTGCTGCTTCCCTATTGACTCACAAAGCCAAAATGGCTCGCTCTGACGTTATAGATACCGATGTTCCAGGAACGGTGTACCTGGTTGATGGTAGGCTCTTCCTATAAGCTACAGTTAATCGGTACTGACATCGAACTCAGCAACGGGGAGCTTGAGAGATGTAGCTCATGCTGGAAAGCAGGATGTCCTCCTTATTCCTCAGCCTACATCCTTTTCAGCTGATCCTTTGGTGGGTAGCAGATGAAAGCAACCTCTTCCACACAGTTTGTGCTGACCCATGATAGAATTGGCCTCTTTACAAGAAATACTGGACCCTGTTCTTGATCTCCATGTATGCATGCGTTAACTCATTTGGGGAGAACAACTGGGGTGCGGCATGGACAACTATATCCGATGATACGGGCGTGAGCCTGAACAATATGAACGGTGGCTCCGCTTTGAACTATCTTATGCTGGGTTTCTTCAATATTATTTGGATCCCCACGGCCATGAGGTACGGACGCAAGATTGTCTATATACTTAGTCTGTTGTTCGTCCTTGGAAGTGGTATCTGGGGTGGCTTCTATGAGGGTGTTTCGCAGTATTACATTATGATGGTGATCAACGGGATCGGAACTGCAGCCTACCAGGCTTTGATCCAGCTGACTGTATGCTATGTTTCTAATATGCTCGCTTCCGTACGCTAACAGAGCATAGATTTTCGACGTGTTTTTCACTCATGAGCGCGGCCGAATGCTGTCGATCTACATTTTCTTCCAGCAACTCGGATCTATTATCGGGCTGATCTGTGGCGGTTACATTTCTGACGGCATTGGCTGGAGATGGAGCATGCCCATCGTGTCCATAGCATGTGTCAGTGCCCTCGCACCTAATTTCTCTGCTGCAATTAGCCAGCTAAACCTCTATAGGCTGTTTTGATTCTTCTATTCATCTTTACTTTTGATGACACCATGTTCCCGAGGTATCGCTTTTCGGGTGTGACACCTCAGCGAGCCACCAAAGGCGAGAACGAGACTTCCCGCACTCCATCTGGCACCCCAACGGCGGAGGAAAAGGATTCCAAGGTTGAACCGCCAATGTCCGTCGTGGAAAGCCGCACTGTCGGGGAGATTGACATGCCTCCGCGAACCTACCTCCAGAAGATGTCTCCAGTTCACTATTTCAAAGACGACAACACAACTTGGTACCAGTACTTCCGACGCCCGTTCTTTCTCTTCGCGTTTCCCAATATTCTTCTAGCTGGTATCCAATTTGCATTTGGCTGCACTGCCGGTATTGTCTCGTTTAATACCATCTCTGAGATCATGACGGAGGCACCTTATAACTGGAGCGCTGGCTCTGCTGGCCTAATCTTCTTGGCAGCACTAGTTGGTAACTCTCTTGGGTATGTATTTAGCCTGATACTCTCATGTGTAATGCTGACCCTCTTATAGCATGGGTATTGGATCACTGTCCGACTGGGTTGTCGTCTTTCTGGCACGTCGCAACAAGGGTTATAAGGAGCCCGAGATGCGTTTATGGACGTATTGTATTCCCCTTGTACTTGCCGCGGTTGGCTATTTCGTCTACGGCTGGGGTGCTACCAAGGGCCTTCACTGGATGTCCATTGCAGTTGGCCTATGTTGCATGATTGCTCAGCAGGTCTCTGCCACCAGTATCGCAACCGCCTACGCGATGGAGTGCTTTGAACAGGTAAGTCATTTACATCCGCGATCCTGGACTTGGTGGCTAATCCTCTCGAATCAGATTTCTGGCGAGCTCGTCATTGTACTGGCCTGCTGTTCATCCATAATCAATTTTGTCATCTCCTTTACGGTGCAAGATTTCATCGACGGCACCAACTACGGCTGGACATTTACCTTCTATGGTATCATGGTTGTCCTGTCCATGGCCGCGGGTGCTCCGATGATAATCTGGGGCAAGGATTGGCGGCGGAAGTGTAAGCCTCGGTATGAGAAGTTTTTGGCGGAAACAGGACGTCAGTAGGAACATGGCCAGTTTTCTGTTTGTTAAATGAACTTTATGAATGATTGCATTATATCATTGTAACGTGTATGTTTATTAGCTAGACACACTGAGACTTTGTCAATAAGCAAGAGCACGCAACATCTAAATTCAATGCGAACACCACAGCCTAGGAGGTTTCGCATAGTCAGCACATATCATAAGTTGATGATTTCCAAAACACGTCTATACTACCCCATCTCACTTCTCCCTAGCACCAGTAACAACCCTAACCCTCTCCACCAAAGGACTCGTATCCAAATAGACCGTGAAAAACCTCATCTTATCCTCATCCGCCCTCTTCCCAAAGATCGCCATACCCTGAACACTAACCACCTTCTTCTCCTCGTCACCTTTCAAAACATAGTCGATGGTCGCCTCCTGATAGATGCGATCAGGAAGAACGTCCACATGGCCAATAGTATGCTTCATGCTCTCCAGGATCGTGGACTGCTCTTTGAAGAAGTTGATAATTGCTTCGTGACCCTTAATTGGAGCATGGCCTGGAAATCTCATCTCACAGTCTGGAGTGTAGAATTTGGGGACGGCGGTGTCGGGGTTGAGTTGGTCGCCTAGGGAGTGGAAGTCTTGGAGCCAGGATTTGGCAGCGAGGATGGCTTGGTTGGTGGTGGTATTGGTGTTGGACATTGTTTCTTGGGGTGGGATGGATGGATGTCAATTTGAGAGCTATGGTAGTAAAGGTAGATGATGGTTCTGGTTGCTGTTCAACATTGTGTAGGATTGGGGGGTGGGATCTAGGTAGGGATGTTTTATATGTGGTGTTGATTTGTGGTTATCATTCTCACTCAGTATGACGAGGAGTTTTGGGATGTGCTGATTGGGGTATTTTGGTGTTCGTTTGTTGTTGATTTATAATGGGTTTCTTGATGCTGCTGTGCGCTTATGTCCTGGTAGTATAGGGTAGCGTCTGTAGTTCAGACGAGGCTGAAACACAATTTGCAAGACTACTCTTGGAAGAACAGGGGAGAGGTGTATACCCTCATAGAAAACATATATGAATCTATATGATGGTCATGGATATATTATTTGCTGATAAAGCAATCCCGTGCATGGGTGCTATCCGGCCGGTTTAGCTTAGAATAGAAATCATTGGTGCTTGGGTAAGACTCATCATGATTCTTATGGTAGCCATTGTGAATAGGATATGGTTCTGTAGCACCAGGTACCTCGGATGAAGAAAAGATGATTTCTGGTAGGAGACATAATAGAGCATTGTAGAGTCGTAGAAAATTAATTACTACTGAGACTGCGATGTACTTCAAGTTATCAACACAGTACCTTGGTATGCAGAGCATCGACACCCTTCGCTCTTAGATTAATAAAGGGACGGAAAATACAAGCAGCGAATCAGATAACGCAGTGGTTAGCCGCTTCAGCATCATTGGTCTAGTGGTAGAATTCATCGTTGCCATCGATGAGGCCCGTGTTCGATTCACGGATGATGCACTATCTTTTTCTTTTTGCAAATTTTCCTTGCCGCCCCAACTTACTCCTCTATTGTCTTCTGTTAGACACATGCAACTTGAAGAACCTAACTTTATCGTAATTAACATTTCCATCGATTATGCATCTTATCGTCATATTCGGTTTCCCGTCGCATATTTTCTATCATCTCCATGTCAAGGTGCTTCTCCGCAGAGAAGAAGCAGCCTGTCTCTCCGATTTTTTCCTTTCTTTTAGCCCCAATATATAATGTTTGCCCAATAAGGCAGGTCGACGCACACTTTAACGACTGCGTCCTTATCCGTGCGAAACGGGCGAGATCGAGAGAGCCTTATCATGGCGATGGACTGTCAACATACTAACTCCTTCCATCTCTGACAACCTGACATAATTATCATCTACTCGCCTGGCTATCACGCCTAAACCACAACAGTCTTCATCGCCAGTGAACGACATCATCTAGCTGCACACTGGTTGCTATCAGCCAACCTTATGATGAAAGGAGACTTCATGGAGCAGTCTGTATGAGCTTGGTTAGTAACCGTGATGCGAAGTTATGCCGACACTACTGCAAACCAGCCTGACAATGTTATCACGCCCTCTATTCAAAGATGAAAAAAATGATCATAGAAAAGGGAATACATGGTTGATATTATGGATCTCATCTAGTCCGACACGTGCAGACTTCTTAATGTTCAAGCTTGAACCGCAGCGAATTGTTTAGCGATCACCATCATGCACCTATATACATGCATCTGCATCCTGAATGGTCACACCCACCTCCCGAGCAAAGTACCGGCAAGACTTTCTTCATTGAGTAAGACCAACAGTCCGTGCACTTGCTTTATCTATTCCAGATACTACGAACTTGCATTTGAAGGGCTTCCATTTGTCTGGACTCAGGGTCTCACCGGCATTAATACCACTGGCTAGATGCCGGAATCACTCCTTGCACCTTTACCGAAATTATCTGTCGAGCTGTTATGCAAAACTCTTCTTCCGCAAAATGATAGTCTGTGATAGGACCACATGATGCATTATGATAGCCACTAATAGCCATCAAATATTGAGCCATTATCGGTACTTGCTTTTCTCCGCTTGGCAACCCCGCATGAAGAACTCCAACGGGTTGTTATCTCTGAGTACTCTCCTGCATTCCCGAGCGATAAGCCTCGTTTCTAAGCGTCGCTGAAATGGAGGAGAAGTACAAGGGGGGAGATACTGCGGGACGTGAATATAATGATAAGATCTGTGTGTCCCACGCTTCGGTGGCTGCATCACGACGGGGAACTTGACTTGCCTTAACATCAAATTTGGAATGTCGAATGGTCAGAGTGAGCAGGAGCCCATCTGGGCTCCGGGAACTGTCACCCTCGAAGATAGTAAGAGCTATTTCTGATGAGTGCATGTACAGGACTGACCACAGGAAGTACACGGCAGTAGTGTGGTCCTATTCCCTACTCCTTCTGACGACCCGGATGATCCTCTTAACTGGTCCAAGGCACGGAAGGCTCTCAACTATACTTTTGTTAGTCTATTTGTACTCTTCACCTTCGTGGAGCTAGACATTGGCTTTACCGCATGGGGTGCGATGGAAACAGAGCTTGGCTTCACGGTAGACCAGCTCAATGCCGGTACAGCGACCAATTACGGTGGTCTTGCTGTGGGGTGCTTCTTCCTGCTTCCTCTCGCTCGAAAATATGGCCGCCGCCCTATCTATATCTTTTCCTCGGCGTTGCAGCTGGCTGCGAGCGTGTGGAATGCTAAAACCTATACCTTCGGTGACTATATCGGAGGGATGCTGATCTCCGGCCTGGGGGGTGCTATCAGCGAGATCATCGTACAGATGACTGTCGCAGATCTTTTCTTTGTCCACCAACATGCCACCATGAACGGATTATTCGTGCTCTTCCAGTCAGTCGGAGCGTTTCTGGGACCTGTCGCCTCAGGATACGTCGTGGAATCCCAAGGCTGGCGCTGGGGATGGTGGTGGTGTGTGATATTCTTCGCCGTCATGCTACTTTGTGTGATCTTTCTTTTCGAAGAATCGAAGTTTATTCCTATTCTGAATGCCCAGGAACTTATCCCAGGTGTGCAGACATCTGGTGTAGAAGGACCTGAGTGCTCTCAGGCTTCTAAAGGAAGACTGTCATCTGATGACAAGAAGGGATTTGAACGGTCCGTGGAAATATGTGCCACACCGCGGCCTGGAAGCGAGCCAAAGCCCTACCTTCAGAGAATGGCCCTCGTCACACCGTCTGATGAATCTATATGGCCTCATGTGTGGCAGCCAGTTGTCATTCTATTTACTTTTCCAGCAGTGACATATACTGCACTTACATATGGCTCCACCCTGTGCTGGTTCGCAATCATGACATCTCTACAAGCGACGTATATGATTCTTCCGCCATATAATTTTAGTTCAGTCGGTATCGGTTTGATGAATGTTGCCCCTTTTATTGGCAGCCTGTTAGGCTTTCCAATCTCAGGCTATCTGAGTGACAAGTCCATCCTTTGGCTTTCGAAGAGAAACAACGGCATATACGAGCCGGAGATGCGACTTTGGCTTTCGCTCCCTATAATAGCTTTGGGTCCAGGATCTATACTGATGTTTGGACTTGGGCTTGCCTATGTACGTTCCCAGTACCCCATACATTTCCAGTATTATGCTAATTTCCTCATAGGGCTCTCACTGGGTTGTACTAGCACTTGGCTATGGTTTCTTTGGGTTTGTTCTTTCTTGCAGCAGTGGTATCTCACTATCATATCTTATGGATTGCTATCAGGATGTGAGTACATCGAGTGTCCTCTTTGAGTAAGTATAATCTGGCATCTAACGCAAATGTATGATAGATCGTTGGCGACACTCTGGTCGGCGTAGTCTTCATGCGAAATGTGATCGCTGTCATTGTTCTTTTCACTTTGACACCTTGGGTTAATGGAATGGGTATGCAGAACCTGCATATCTTGATTGCAGTCGTGGCATTTTTCATCTATGCGATTCCAATTCCCCTGCTAATCTGGGGGAAGAGAGCGCGGATTGCTACTGCATCGACTTATCGGAGGATGGCAGAGAATCAGAGCGACAATCGGGTGGTCTGACATACAAGCTATCTTTGAGACAACTGCTTGTAGAATATAGTGATCTATATATGTACACAGGACCATTCGCAATGTAGCAGTGCAATACCAATTCTTTGATAAGCTTACATTATGGCATTGTATAAGCTCTTAGTCTGGGATAGGATATTGCTCAATTCAGTTCAATATTTACTCTCGACTTGAAATTCATTGGACATTGACCTTTCAGTGCATCAAGTAGAATTGGCCTGCATCCCAACGTACAACTTCCAATTACCCAAGCTTCCACAACCCACCCCCAAACACCACATACTCCCTCCCTACAACTCCATTCCACCTAACTACCACCCACTACTTCGAACTAAACGCACAACTCCCCATATCCAACCTCACCACCTCCGCCTCCGGCCTAACATCGAAATCAAAGATATCCATCGGCACCCCCAGTGTCGTACACGCATTCGGAATATCCACCAATCCCGCAATATGTCCCTGCACCGGCGCACAACTCAACAACAAATAAATCTGATAATCACTATATCCATACCGTCTCAAATACTCAATCACCCTCAAGCAAGTCTGTCTATACGCAACAGTCGCATCAAGATAATGCTGCTTGCCTTTCTCATCCACCGAGAATCCCTCGAACGTGAGATATCTCCCCGGACCGAACTGAGGCTCCACAGGCCCCGGGTGGAAAATGGGAGACTTCATGCCCATCTTCTCCATACCCCCTTTGAGGACAGTGAACTTGAGCGTGATTATCCCTGCCATTTCAATCGCCCCACAGAAAGAGATCTCCCCGTCGCCTTGACTGAAGTGTAGATCTCCCACGGAAAACTTCGCTCCGGGGACGTGTACGGGGAGGTAGACTTTTGAGCCTCGCGAGAGGTTCTTGATGTCGCAGTTGCCGCCGTGTTCGGGACGACCCTGTACTCTTGTTAGTATTTGTGGGGGTGTAGGGGGAGGATGGGGATGGGGATTAATACAGGAATAGTCCTCGCCCCCTCCTTCGCTATCTTCGCCTTCAGCTCCTCGTCCGTTGCACTACCCGCATGCGCACTCTTCGGCTCTGGAGGCTTCGCAACGTCCCGTCCAAGGGT